ATCAGAATTCATTTCCTCCTCAGGTCGCTAATAGCCCGAATTCATTGGCCTTCAGGGTGCAATGTAAGGCCCACATTTTAATTATCTCATGAGCAAAGGAGAGTGTGGTGATGTGGAACTCTAGAGAGTGTGAATGGCTTAATTTATTTCTATTATATTTCCTCCCCCGCCCCCCAGGTTATTTCATCTTATCTGAAGAAAATGATGGCTTTGTTAGAGTATCGTTAACAGATTGCCAAGAGAGCACTGAACAGGTGACTTCATTTTAGTTTAATAAAAATCAAATAAATAAATAAAATCATACAAAAATCCACAATACAATTGTAACCATACAATTGTACTTATTCATTTAGGGTTTGATCCAAAGGGAGCCTTGCCATTGACCTCTGTGAGGTAGGGTCAGGCCTTTAGTAGTTTATTTAATAAGACACAATTACAACAGTATTAATATTTTGTTGGGGAAAGTTTGTTTTACTATGTGTCTACCTAAATGTACACCTTGTCCAAAACCAGATATAATGTTAGGCTGAGCCCACTGCAAGGCACAGGAACTCCTAGGGATCAACTGTATCCTTGAGCACTTCATATTTACAGAATACTCATCCCTCAATATTGAGATATTTTTACTTTGTGATGTGACTGAGTCAAATATTTGCCAACAGTAACTTTTAGTTTATGGCCTGCAGTGATGGATAATTGATAGCACCTCAGAAAATCGGGCCACTTCTAATCAAGTGCCTAAATATTTGGAAGAAAAAAATTACACACACACACACAGACACACCCCACCCCTTTCTTAAATATTTAGAGCACTATAGCTTAATGTAGGTTTCAGATGATAGACTACTTACTGTACAGATGTTGTACTTGTTTGCTCCAGTCCCAATCATTCCAGTGAAAGCCTCGCTCCATTGTATCTCTATCCTCTGTCAGTATACTAACCACCCTCAACCTCTTGGCAAATTTTTCAAAAAAATAATTATGCTGCTACTTCCAGTGCTTCTAATTCCTTTCCCCCCTCTTGCCAGAGATGAAAGAGTAGCAGCTCAAAGGCAGCATCGTTCTCAGTCGGAACATTTGCTTCCACTCCGTTACTCAGTCAAGGTCTCACTGCCTATTTTCATTGCCATGCAAAGTCCTGCAGGATAATTTGGAGAGCAGCTACCTTTATTAGTTCCACTCACATCCCACTGCTTCCAATTAGTACTGATTTTCTCTTACAAGAAGCAGCCAGAAAGGCTGAACTGCACAACTGCCTCAAAGCCGGGGGAGGAAAATTTGGGAAAAAGAACGGGCAAGTTTCCTCTTTCTTTCTTTATGAGCTATAAAATACATCTGAGGTTTATTTATTACAAATCATTGCTCTTAGGGAGGACAGTGATTTTTATGGATGGATGGATAAGTTTAGGGGAATTTGTGTTGTGGGGGTAGTTTGAAGTTTGTACACACCAAAAGATGTTAAAATAAAATCGCTCATATTTGATCACATTAGTATTTCAAACCATCTCTTCTTACCCTTATCAAATAAACAAAGGATGGGAAATCTCCTTCCAGATTAAAAGGAAAATGTACATGTTAAAAACACAAAATTAAAGCATAAACTTTTTTTACAGTAGAAAAGCATTCCTCTTATATTCTCCATAGATCACTTTAGTTCTTTCTGTCGCAAATCTCTGCTGTAACCTTGTTTTATAAATTCTGATGTGTCACTCTTTTGTTGGCAACATGTTTGATGTCTGGAGACAATCTGTAGATTAGTTTCACAACATGATGTTCTATTAATTAAAACACGATAAACTGTTATTAAAACTCTAAAGAGAACAACATGAAAACAGAAACTAGATGCCTCATACATAATGCATTCAGAAATACTGATGTGCGGATAGAGAAAAGCTTTAAAGGATTCTAGAATGCCTTTTTAAAGTTTGTATTTCTTTTAAACGATGGAATTTTCAGCTAGCAGCGTCTTCTATTTCAACTATTATTGCTAATTGAAATTCAAAAGCTTTGCTAAAGTTACATTTAAATACCTTTTTAAAGAACAGATTAAATAAGTGGGAATGATGTAGGGACAAAATGCAAAGGAGCACATCTGAAGCAGGCTGAAATTTTTCAGATGAAACTTTTTTAGCAGATTCGAGTGGACCATAACATTTTACAAACCTGTGTTGAATTTGCCATATTCAATTCAAAATGATTTTCTGTTTAGAATTTTTATTGCCATTTTATTTATTTATTTATTTTAAACTTTGAAAATGAAATTAAACATTTCATTTTAGGCTGAAATAAATGTTTTATTTTTGACAAACAAAATATTAATTTGGCCCAAGATAACATTGCTTTTTGGTTTGCCAAAATATTCTAAAATATTTTGTTTAGGGTTGACCAGAAAAAAAATGTGTTTTTTTGGTGGTGCTAGCAAACACAAAATTCAGTTATATGCCCAGCTCTAGGCACACTTAACCTAAGTTCTTTTATATGGCCATACACTATCTATGGGTCCAATGTTCTCCTAAGCAAACTGGTTCTCTGGAAAACCCAGATACAGAAGTGGAAACTGTGAAAACCAGATTCACTGATATTCTTTCTTAATCCCACACGTGTGATGCCTTTAGGTCCCCACAAATTTCAGAGGACCCAACAGAGAAGTCTGCATGTCTCTTGCTTCTGCTTTGTTACACAACTTCCAATTCCTCTGCTGCTTCCCTCCCTTAGATAGCACACCTCCTAAAAGAGCTAGGAAACCAAGGTCTCACTGATCCGTAGCTGCCCCAGGAGTCTCTAGTGGACATACTACAGTGTGGAAAACGGAACCTCCATAAGCTAGAGAAGATTCTCCATCAGTAACTTTCACCACCATTTCATATGTGCAAGGGGGGGGAAGAGATTAGGGCAGAGACCTGAAATGATTCCTGCATCTTTCCTCTCCAAATTCTCAAATGCTTATTCACACCAACACATGCCTATCCTCAGTGAGAACTGGTGTACATGAAATAAGAATTAGGTCATTTGAATGTGTAATCAATGCCCTGATTCAGCAAAACAGCTAAGAGATGCTCCATGCTGTCATTTCAATATTTCAAAAAATTTAACTTAGAATCCTCCAAATAGTAGTGACACATCACTAGAGAATCTTAAAACTCAATTTGAGCAACACTAGTTAATAGAATAGTGACTTTTAACAGAGTGATAACCATAGCTGACATCCAATCCAAAACGAGAGAGGATTGTAAATGGGAAAAAAAAAATGAGGGAGAAAAGGACAGCAAAGCTATAATCATTAGTGGTCAGTTTGTGCCATCCCTGGATTTCAATGGAATACTTGTGTGAGAAGGTTACTCACCTTGTGCAGTAACTGAGGTTCTTCGAGATGTGTCATAGAATCATAGAATCATAGAATATAAGGTTTGGAAGGGACCCCAGAAGGTCATCTAGTCCAACCCCCTGCTCGAAGCAGGACCAATTCCCAGTTAAATCATCCCAGCCAGGGCTTTGTCAAGCCTGACCTTAAAAACCTCTAAGGAAGGAGATTCTACCACCTCCCTAGGTAACGCATTCCAGTGTTTCACCACCCTCATAGTGAAAAAGTTTTTCCTAATATCCAAAGTCCCCCTGTGGGTGCTCCACTTCAGGTGACGATGCGTCCAGGCACCGTTGATCGGAGATCTTCGGTAGCTGTGCCTGGTCAGTCCACGTGTGCTGTTGTCTCACGGCGTTGTTTGAGTTTGTGCAGTGCGCGCACAGCCCGACCCTCTCTGTTCCTTTTCTACCATAGGATCCTTGTTCTTGAACACCAAAGTAGAGGGGAGGAGAGTAGGTAATGGAGCACCCACAGGGACACACATCTCGAAGAACCACAATTACTGCACAAGGTGAGTAACCACCTTCTTCTTCTTCGAGTGCTGTCCCTATGGGTGCTCTACTCCAAGTGAATTTTGAGCAGTACCCACTATGGTTAGGGGGACTTCGGAGTTATGTGCATTGTAGCAGCGGAGAGGACAGTAAGGCCTACTATGGCATCCAACCTGGCATTCTGTGTGATGGCATAGTGCTAATCAAAAGTGTGGTCTGATGCCCATGTGGCAGCTTTGCAAATGTCCAGAATGGGTACATTGTGTAGGAATGCTACAGATGTTGACATGGCTCAAGTAGAGTGGGACCTGATCCAGGCAGAGGATTTTATGTTCTGGGTCTGGCAGCATGATCAGATACAGTCTGATATCCACTTGGAAAGTCGTTGCTCGGATATAGTGGCATCCTTGGATAGTTTGGTTGTGGAGACAAAGAGTCTAGGAGATTTACGGAATGGTTTTGTTCTGTCTAAATAGAAGGCTGTTGCTCTTCTGACATCAAGGGTGTGTAGTGCAGTCTCCTGTAGGATTTTCTGTGTTTTGGGGTAGAATGTGGGGAGGTGTACTGGTTGGTTGATGTAAAATTGGACGCAACCTTTGTGAAGAATTTAGGGTGAAGTTGCATCATGACCTTATCCTTAAAGAAGATTGTATAGGGAGGATTGGCCGTTGGTGCATTTATTTTGCTCACCCGTCTAACCGATGTGATGGCAGCTAGGAATGCTACCTTCATTGACATGTGTAGTAAAGAGCAAGTAGTTAGGGTTTCAAAGGGAGGACTCATGAGTCCCTGGAGGACTAGGTTCAGATTCCACGTGGGTGTGGGAGGGTGTACTTCAGGCTAAAGGTTCTGAAACCCCACAAGGAAGCATTTGGTGGTTGGATGTGTAAATGCCAAGAACTGATTGATTCTGTCATGAAAAGCATTAAATTACCACAAGATGTACTTTGATAGAGCTGAATGAAAGTCCTGAATTCTTGAGCTCTACCAGGTAATCCACCAGTACAGGAAAGGGTGTAGTGTAGGGAGTGAGCCATTTATGCAGGCACCATACACAGAAACGTTTCCACTTTTGAAGGTAAGTATTGCACCTGGAGTCCTGTCTGCTTTTCAGTAATACGTGCTTGACCTGTTCTGATCAGATTAACTCGTGTACTTGGAACCATGGAGGAGCCACACTTTCAGGTGGAGCTTCTCCAGTTGTGGATGGAAGAGCTGACCATTGTCCTGGGATAGGAGGTCTGACCTCATCAAGAGAGTTCGTGGAGGGCAGACTGACATGCACAGCAGGTAAGGGTACCAGGTCTGCCTGGGCCATGCTGGGGCGATTAATATAATCTTGACTTTGCCGTCTCTGACCTTGCGTAGGACCCTGTATATTAGTGGGATCAGCAGGAATGCATACATAAGTGTCTTGTCCCAACAAATCAGGAAAGTGTCTCCCAGAGACTGGGGGCTGAGCCCTGCTCTGGAGCAAAAGAGGGCATTTGCGCTTCTGTGTTGTGGCGAAAAGGTCGATAGATGAGAATCCCCATAGGTGGAACATTTGTTGTGCGACCCTCAAATTCAGTTCTCATTCATGTTCCTGTAAAAATTGTCTGTTTAGTGTATCGGCCATAGTATTCTGACACAGATATTCTCCATCTTTGTCCACCACTGTAATGACGTTAGTACAGCAGAGGGTGGTGTTACCATCATGTTGAGTCTGTGTTTGGTGGGTCTGTATACGGAGCTCATCCAGCCCTGGAGGCACCTCATGTGTAGTCTGGCTTATTTCACCATGAATGTGGTGGCGGCCATGTGACCAGTAGTTGTACGCACATTCATGACTCGATTCTTGGTCAGATTGACACAGTGTCTATGAGGAGTTTGATGGCCAGGAATCTGGTGTGAGGTAGCAAGGCTCTGGCCTGAGTTGAGTCTAGATAGGTCCCGATGAACTCCAGGTATGAACGACCCTTGATGAGGCAGATGTCCAAGTATGGGAAAAATATGATCCCTTGTTTGCGTAGATGAGCTGTGACTACTGCCGGGGTTTTGGAGAATACCCTCGGTGCAGTGGAGAGACCAAATGGGAGCACTCTGTACTAGAAATGTTCTTGTCCTACTATGAATTAGAGGAATCATCTGTGTGCCGGATGTATTGAGATGTGTAGGTCGAGGGCTGAGAACCAGTCCCCCTGTTCCAGCACTGAGATTATTGTGCCCAGTGTGACCATCTTGAATTTTTGGGAGCGTATGCATTTGTTGAGCCTTCATAGGTCTAGTATCAGTCTCCATCTGCTGCTTTTCTTCTGGGTCAGGAAATAGTGGGAATAGAATCCCTTCCGTCTGTATTGTGTTGGCACTGTTTCTACTGAACCTAGCTGAAGAAGATATTTATTTCAAGTTGTAGCAGGTGCTCGTGAGAAGGGTCCCTGAAGAGGGGCAGGGAAGGTGAGCAGGAAGTAAAAGGGATGGAGTAGCCTGAATATTACAGAACCCAGCAGTCGTGTGACTTGCTGCCAGGCATGTTGGAATTGATGTAGGCGGTGGCCAAATGTGCTGGTGTTAGGGGGTGGTTGCTCAGATCCTCGACCAATCCTTCAAAATTGTGGTGTGTTTCCAGATGGTTGGGATGCCAACTGGTCTGTTTGGTTCTGTCTGCACCTGGGTAGTCTATTGTGGTTTCTTTCCGCCTCATAAGGTCTAGATTGTAGGCGGTTGTATTGTGATGCCCTGGGTCTCTGGTATGGCTGGTACCATTTTCTTTTTGGGAGTGGAGTGTATATGCCAAGGGTAAGCAGGGTAGCAGGGTAGCTCATGAGTCCTTCATTGTGTGCAGGACTTCATCTATTTTTGCTGAAAATAATTTGTCCTGGTTAAAGGGCAGGTCCTCTATCTTTAATTGGAGCTCCTTCGGGATGCCAGATGATGATAGCTATGAGGCTGTGTGCATGACCACTGCAGGAGCCATAGGATGGGCTGCCATATTGGCCATGTCCAGGGAAGCCTGTAGGACCATTCTGGTGACCAGCTGTCCCTCGACCAGGATTGATTTGAGTTGGGCTCTCCTGTCCTCTGGTATATCTGTGGTGAATTCAAAAAGTTTGCCATAGATCATACTTGGCGAGGAGGGCGCTATAGTTGGCTATTCTGAATTGTAGTTTGGATGATGTATATACCTTGTGGCCTAGGAGGTTTAGGTGCTTGTGGTCCTTATCTTGTAGTGTGGATCAGTGTTGACGTTGTTTTTCCCTGTCGGTTGCTGCTTCCACCACCCGGTAATTTGGTTGTGGGTCGGCAAATAGGAAGTCCATGCCCTTGGCCGGGATGTAATATTTGTGATCTGCCCTCTTGCACGTTGGTGGAGCTGTAGCTGGAGTCTGCCATATATTTTCAGCAGGTTCCAAATGCCATCTTTATAGGGAATGCAATTTTTGATGCCGAAGAGGGTTGCAAAATTTTCAAGAGCTTGTGCTGATTCTCTTGATGGAGATTTGGAATAATGGAATTTCCTGACTGACTGCTATTCATTTGAACAGCTCCTGAAACTGTTTGAAATCGTCACATCAGAGTGAATGGAGGTGGAATGACGGCTTCATTTGGAGACGAGGACAAGCTGTATTCTGGGGACAGCATCTCTGGTATGGCTTCTTCCTCAGGCTCCTCTGATGGATTCATGGTGTTCACGGATGTAGGGTGCATAGGGGATACCGGTTGGGACCAAAGCTGTGCCCTGGCTGGTGTGGAAGTGTAGGTGTGGTGAGCCGTATAAGCCGCCCATGGGTCCCATGGTGGCCATTGCATTGGATATGGCATGTGAGGGCCCATCCATGCGGGGCCATACCATGGCCACTGGGGTTGTTCTTTGTATCATAAAGACCCAGTGGTGTGTTTTGTGGGGGTGTAGGAGAATCTGGTGGTGAGAACAGTTGCTCCCCTTGGTCCTGGTCCCCATTATTGCTATCAGTGAACACTGGATACGCCGGGGGTGAAGTTGGTTGGGTTAAAAGAGAACCCATGGTGCTGAGTGAAGGTGATTCTGCCACCAGCACCATGGAGATGTCTTTCTGAATTAAAAATTGTTGCATTGCCGGCAGGTGTGGCACCGATGCATTGTGATTGGATGCTCATGCTTTAGGCATCTTGCATTTCCCTTAGTAGTTGCCGGTGGCCCCATTGGGAGCCATCTGCTGGTGCTGGGAGGTTTGTCAGTGCTGGTGGCGGTACCGAGGGTTGTGTCGGCACTGGAGGTAGTTGTGTGGTCAGTGCCGGTTCCAACAAGGGTGTCGGTGCTGTTGGCACAGAGAAGGAGACATGGGGAGTTTGATGTCTCGACTTCTTCATCTTATGGGTGGTGCTCCTGGTGCTGGAGGTGCAGGCTCTCAAGGCTGTCAGCACAACTAATAGCGACCTTGCGGGGGACCGCTTCTTTTTAGTTGGTTCCCTGTGGGTGGAGGTCAAGGCTCTCTCCCTCTTCTCCTGAGAGGGTGGAGCCATGCTCTTGGTTGGTTTTGAGAGGCATGGAGAGCACTTAGGAGAAGGTTTAGATATGTCCTTCTCTGATCCAGGCTGGAACGATTTCTCCATAAGGATCATTTTCAGGTGCAGGTCTCAGTCACGTTGGGCCCTTCCCGTTAGGTTGCTTCACTGGGCGCACTTTGCCAGAATGCGTGTCTCTCCGAGGCACTGCACACAGAGGGAGTGTCCATTGGAGCACTGCATTGTCTCATTGCAGGACCTACATTTTTTTTAAACCAGGGGAGCCTGGAATATTGAAGTAAAAGAGGGAGAGGTCGCGGTGGACCAAAAATACGTATCAAGGTTTTCGCGCTGTGGGGAGCAAATAGCTTGAAGAAAAATAGGGGATAGAAGTTTGTTTGTTTCTTTAAACTACTAACTATTAACTAACTTATCTAAAGGGAAGGGTAGAAATGGGTTAATTGTATTTAATTTTCCTGTCAGTAGGGGAAGAAGCTACAGCACTGCCCATAGCTCCCTCTTCAGCCAAGGACGGTTGAGAAGAAACTGAGCGGGTTGGGCCATGTGCGCTCTGCACAGACTCAAATGATGCCATGAAACAACAGCTGCGCATGCACGGCCCAACCAGGCACTGCTACTGAAGAGCTCCGATCAACGGTGCCAGGACGCATGGTCACCCGGAGTGGAGTACCCACAGGGACAGCACTCGAAGGAGAAAGTAAACTAACCCTCAGCAAGGTAAAGAACTTGATCAACATTGTCAAACAAATATTTTGTTCCTATTCACAGATTTACTTGTAAACTATAATTATAGTGTATATATAGGGCTTGCTTCATCCCATAAGCATGGGAAAAGGGGTATCAATCTGCAATCCTTCTGCACTCACAGAAGCAACTGTGCCCCAGGGAAATTCTGCCTCAGTAAGTGTTGGCCCCCACTTCCTATCCAGATGGTTCTTAGACTCAGCCAGCTGTGAGCACCCTGGTGGAACAGGAGTTGATGGCAGCTTCTACCACTGTCTGCTCCTCACACTGGCAGCCTTCAGTAATAATATCTTATGTGCTACTTTGCTAGAGCAGTAGATTACCACCTCCAGGTGCATATTTTTGAGGCCTCCAGATAAGTTATTTCATGTCATTCCAGAAGGAAAGCACTAATGGGCAGGGTTTCAAGATACTTATGAAGTCTCCATTTTCATTTCTATAGTTCCAGCATCTGCTGTTGCTGTTCATGTTAATATCACAGTGAAAACATCCAGAGCAAAATAGATACAAATATTATCAAAACTACCATATGACACACATCCCAGAGTGTTACTGCTATTGTGTGTATATCTGCTGTCTTGATTAACACACTAGCCCTTTAAAATGACAACCTCATGGCCTGTGTGTATTGAAGAATGCATGACAACTGTATGAGACCATTACAGGGCTGAGGAATCAACTAGAAGTCAGTTGATCCCGGACATAAACTGATTATTGTGCTGCTGACAGAAAAAATTAGCACAGGGATCAATACCTGAAGCTATGGCCAATGTCAGTATAGACAAGCTGCTCTGACAGGATCCAAGCTGTGCTGATCTGTTGTGGGGAAAATCCCTCACTGTTACAGATGCACTTTTAAGACTACATAATTCTCTTACGCGGGAGAAGTACAGTTATAACTGCATTTTGACAGAAGGGAAACACCCTTCTGACCACAGATATCCTAGTTCACTGATGTTTCTGGTGTTTAATGTCGGCATTCTGTAACCTTCTGAAAAAAAGCAGCCAGAATTGTACACCCAAGACTGGGTTCTGTTATGCACGCTGCTGCATGGTACACCAAAGAGTTATTTTAATAAGTATTTAACAAGTAATTATTGGTGCAGAACTTCTAATTCTAACTAACTAATTCCACAAACTGAACATGTTTAAAAACTGAAGAGGAGAAAATGTTGAGAGAAAATTATATGAAACCACAACCATTTTAACTGTGACAGTGGTTTGAGGTATTTCTGTCAAGGGCGCCAAGGTCAAATAATCTGCTGTGCAACAAGAACTCAAAAGCATAATCAGATGAATGGTGTGCATGTTTGTGAGTGTGGAGTTACCCAAGGATCTCAGAATGAGTAAAGGATATTATGTAGACCCTACTGGGATTTTCTAGCTAAAAATCCGTACACTTTAATAGTACATTTTAGCTACAGTGACAAATACAAGAGAACAACATAATAGAACACATTTCAACATGAGAATAGAGTTCGTAATTTTTTTCCCATCTAAATGTTAGATGGAAAATGGCTTTTTGTCTTTAAGAAAATTTGCATTAAATGTTTCTATTTTTGTTTATGATTTTCAGGTTTTCAATAAAATATGAAAATCCAATTACCAATTGTTTTGTTTATATTGTTTTTGGCAACTGAAAATATTGGGGGAAGTTAGTTTATTTGTTTTTTAAAATTATATAAAATTTCAAAGAAACCTTTTTGATGAACATTAAAAAAATGCATTGTCTTTTGAATTTTTTTTGTCAGGGAAAAAATTATTTCTCGACCATCTCTGCCTAGGAGCCCTTACATGGTTAGTGCTCCACTCACTCCTGACCAACTCTGTTTACCAAGGGTTACCATGTCCGTATTTTCCCAGACAAGTCTGGCTTTTTATATCTTAAATTGCCGTCCAGGAGAAATTTTTAAATAGCTCAAAATGTCTGGGATTTTGCCTGGCGGGGAGGAAGATGCAGAACCTCCGAACCCAGGTGGCAGCAGGGAGCAGAAGTCTGGAGCCCCTGAGCTGACTTGGCTGTTGGGAGTGGGCGGCGGCGGCGAATTCCTGAGCCCAGGCTGCCCTGGCTGCAGCCGGCAGGAACTGAAGCCCCCAGGAGACGCTGGAGGAGGAAGCCCAGGGAGCCATGGTAGGAGCTATGGGCAGCGGGAGGGCAGGGCTGCTGGCTGCGCAGGGCAGAAGTCCCAATCCTGGACTGGCTCGGCTGGGGTGGAAGTCCCCAGCCTGGGCTGCCCCAACCCCTTGCTGGAGCTGGGAGAGGCCCCGAGCCCAGGCTGCCCTGGCTGCTGCAGCGACTGGGAGCAGAAGTACCTCCTCATTGACCAGCCCCATCTACTGTGCGGCTGCTAAGCTTGCAACCACCTTGTCCTACTGCCACCCCAATCCCCAGGTGGACTTTCCATCCTTGTGGGGCTCTACTTCTGGGGCCCCCGGGGCAGAAGCTGCCAGGACTGGGGGATAAATCAAAGCCTTTGTCTGCACAGCGCTTTGCAGATGAAGCCAGCTAGCAATGCGTGAAAAGGTTCTGCTTAACTTTGCTGATTTTAACTTTTGCCTCTGCAACTCTTTGCACTGAAACGAAGAACCATTTCCCATGTAAGCTGCAACTTCAGCCTGGCTGGCCATTGTCCAGAGCCATCCCTAAACACCCTCCCCTTTCAGTGGGAGAGTTGTCTGTGCATGGACCATACAGCTGGGTGAGGGAGCTGCTGATCCGCTTGGGGCTTGGTCTAGCTGGGATGTTACTGCCCGACAAGCCAGGGTGCGACTCTGCAGGGCTAGCAGGCTGCGTGGTGACAACCTTGTGTCTCTTGCAGGTACAGTTTTTCCATTTTGGGCCCTGGAACTGCTCAGGCAGCCTCGGTGAACACAGGGGGGATGAAACCAAGGCAGGCAGTGATGTTAAGTGTTTCTGATCTCTCCTAGCAAACACGCTGGCTGGGACCCAGGATGCTGACAGCTGATATTTTCTGGTGGTTCTTTTTATTATTATTCCCTTGCATCCTATTACTACAGAGACTTGCCCAGAGCAGCAGCCGATTTCCTCTGCCCCAGCGGCTCACTTTCCCATGCAAGCTAGGCAGAGGGGGCTGAATTTGACCCTTAGCTGGGTGGGATGAGGATGGGGACCCGTGCCTGTTGCCCCTGGGCTGGTTGTGGTCCAGGTGGCCTGGTTTGGGAGGCGTATGGGTGTAAGGAGACTCCGGAAGGATGCAGGGGAAAGAGAGCCTTGACACATTTACAAAATCAAACCAGCAACTGGTCAAAGAAAATCAGACACAAATGGGGCATGATGAGCCAACAGCTTTTGTGTTGCAATGTTTTATCAGGCTGCTTTTTTAGTTTGTGATCTACTTGATTTCCCCCCTCCGCTCCCCCGTGAATGGGCCCAAAGGGAAAGTGCCATAGAAATCTCAGATCTTCACCTGATTCTGAGTTGAAGCCGTGAATCTTTCAGCTGCACAAATTAGGCTCAACTTCATCCCAGAGACTTAGTTTGTCTCAATCAACTAGAGATGGGACAAAATCAGACCTAACCTCTCAGGGCAAACTTTGGCTGTGACTTCAGAATCAGACCTCATGGGTGACCCAAATATCCCTGAACCCTGAGGTCTGGGCCATATCACTTTTTCTTATATATACTCAATATAGACGACATGTAGTGCACAGCATATATAACAGTTTAACAACACATTAATACAACACGAGTTGGTAGATACTGGTGGAAATCCCCCCCCCCCCCCATGGAGTGTCTTCTTTCGAATGTTCAACTATGGTAAGCCTCGTTTACCCTGCTGTTGGAAGGAATAATCTACTCAGGCACATATGGCCAACTGGAGGATAGGCACACAATTAAGGCTGCTTTTGTTTGTGTAAACCTCTTTAGGAAGAAAGATGGTAGGCTGCCAGAATTTGGCCCCATATGAAGTCTTGTAAAAAGTAATGAAAGAAAGCAAGAAAGTACTGAAAGTGGCTGATAGACTACTTTTTTACCTCAAAGATCATGCATGCTAGGAAAAGAAAAGGCTTCTCTAAGAAACATGCCATAACAGCTTTTAAAACCTAGAGTACAGCATCAGTATTAAAGGAAGAACTGAAATTAATGAAATCAAGCTAAGAATCACTGACTGAATTAAAAAACAAATTTTCTTCTTGTGATATTAGCACCTTGTCTACTACACTTGACCTTGCTGTAGCACTTGAGTGTAGACTCTCACCACAGCAATGGGGGGGTTCTCCCATTGGTGCAGTCAATCCACCTCCCCGACAGGCAGTAGGTAGATCAATGGAAGAATTCTTCTGTTGACCTAGCACTGCCTACACTAGTGGTTAGAGTGTCTTAACTACGTCACTCGGGAGTGTGGATTTTTCATACTGTTGAGTGACGTAGCTGGGTCAACCTAACTTTTGAGGGGAGACACTCACAACAGCGATGGGTGTACAAAACTTCCCAATGTAGATCATCAGAACAAAGAAATAAACATTTTTTTTAAACTTCCTTGATCATTGGACAACAAAATTAGGCTGGTCAGTTTCCCACACACACTAACACAGTAATGTTGTATTGGAGTTTCCAACAAAATGTGACGCTTACATTTTGTTTTTTAATTAAAAAAAAAATCACAAAAACATAGGGGTTTTTCTTGGTAACAAATAGAAACCTAAATTTTGCAACTGAATTATAGGCATGCACCATTAAAAAGAGAATAATTCAGTATGCTTAAGAAAATATAGAATCTTTATTAAATTTAATTTAATTACCGGAAATCAGATCCTACCCTTTTTCTACAGTGACAGGAGTAATTTTGGGAGATCGGCAAAAACAACGAGGAGTCCTTGTGGCACCTTAGAGACTAACACATTTGGGCATAAGCTTTCGTGGGCTAGAACCCACTCCTACGAAAGCTTATGCCCAAATAAATGTGTTAGTCTCTAAGGTGC